TCATATGACGACGTGCATGCGTGTGTATGTGTATGTGCGGCTGCTTGTACTAGCCCAGACTTAAGCTGGTTTTATAGTGCTAGCTCACTGAGATACCATGCCGCAGTGAAGCATGAATACCCCACTCAGACACATTATACTGACTCCGAGCCGACCAGTCCTTGTTGTACCCATTAATGCCGAGCGCCAGGCAGGGACCAACAAGTACCATATTTTAACTTCTTTTGGTTTGACGCGGTCGGGGATCGAACCCTCGACCTTCCGCTCTCCGGGCGGACGCTCTAACCACTAAACCACGGAGGCGGTCGCTGCAAATAGAAACATTTATGACAATACAGAATCGTTCGTAGTAGGTCTGAATTTGGTTTCTTTAAACAGTAAAAAGTGTGCTTGTTTTTCTTAGGGACAATATCAATTATACAAACTTTTGTGCTTGCCATTCGAGCTGCATGGTGGCTATAGAAGTGACCTTAAGTATTGTATGTTGTCATGACACCAACTTCTGGCTAGTTGCTCATGATATCAATCACTGCTCTATCTGTCGCAGACTTGAATATTTACAGTTGACTGTGCCGTAAAACAACACCCACCCACCTGATTCCCAGTTTACTTTGATGTAATGTGGATGTAGCTCCACAGGAGAGCTGTTGATAAGCTCCAAATAGTGGAACATGCCCAAGCCAACAGGGAGTCTACCCACAGCAGTGTAGGAATAAACAAGGGACTGCATGTTAGGAGCCTAGCATGGTTCCTGCCATTTCAGGAGACCTCTCCTTGAGCATGTTGAGTAGGTTGACTTGCGTGACAGTGAAAAGTCTGTGAGGAAAGTTGCACTAGAATTTTACTTGTTAGTGGAACAAATTAGTTGTATCGGCTAGTCGTCAAGAGTGAATTTTGAGGACTACATATACAAAAGTATAAACATATGGTATCCTTGGAGTTAGAACTGGTCTTCAGCAACCAATGCTTGTCGTGAGAGGGGACTAATGGGATCGGGTGGTCAGGCTCACTGACTTGGTTGACACATGTCATTGTATGCCAACTTCGTAGACTGATGCTCATGCTGTTGAACACTGGATTGTCTGGTCCATACTTGATTATTTACAGACTGTCAACACATATCTAGTATATTGCTGAGTGCGGTGTTAAACAACAAACAAACATGTCTGGTATCAATTATATCACTATTTCATAGTTTTCTGCAACTTGATGATTTGACAATTGCAATGGTCAGAAAGAGCCTTTACATTTCCCTGTCTATTGTACCAAACAAGATCACTTATAACATTGCAAAATTCTAAGCAAAGGTTGCTTATCTTTAAGTAACTAATTACTTCAATGTTGAAATTGTAACTGTAACAAGTTACCCAATACGTTTATTTTCCACTGTCCACAATTCAGGTGTTAATCAAGCTCTTAATACAAGGTGTCATCTGAAATCTGTCTGCCACTGAGGACACACGATTATAGCTAGGGTCATTCACCTCATAGTATGCTTCAATTAAGCAGACGGTATGGAAACATGCCTGGCAAAGTGGTGTACTTAGTGAATTTTTCATAGCATTATGAACTATCTAGTTCCAGAGTAGGGTAGCATGTCTCCTCTTGACATGGCTGACATCAGTGTAGACAGAGTCTGGAATTTCACTGTTAAATCTTAATTTATGTAGTCTTTCAGATGGTCGTGATAGAGCAGGGGTGTGCGGTATCCCTGCACACGCGGGGTTTCCGAGGGGCGGGATATATCAGTATTTATCACATATCTCTCTCCAGTTTGTCTATACCCTGCTGTTTCACGTCAATAACGCTTCCCATTATCTAGGATCTTTCAAACTAAACACAGAGTTTTGAGCCTTTGTTCAAACACAATGGAACAATTTGCAGTCATTTTGAACACCTATCGGATATCAAGTCTGTTTGGATTTATTTTGTGTGGATAACTAATAGCACAGACTGCATGTTGATTGTGAGTCTCCGTATCTGTGCCATGTGTTTGCTGGGGTATAGGCATGTTTATCACATAGTGAATATTGGTCCTACACATGGAATAAAGGATTTATTCCTCAATGCCTGTGTGAGTATCTGTATAACTTCACCTCTTGGCTCCCAGGACAATCTTCTGATGGTCAAACATCAGATTATGTTGGTCTAAATGTTTTTACTTTGTATTAGTTTGTTCCATATTTAGAGCATTATAACCAACACTGAACTGTTCAATGTCAGTCACACGCATTGAAAATCTTAACATTTCTTTGCAGTCGTGAGTTGCTAAGGGATTGACTATGCTATATATATCATGACAGATTAACTACAGCCATATGACTGACTGACTGACTGATTGAGTTTGGTTTTACGCCATTTTTAGCAATATTCCAGCAACATCACGGCGGGGGACACCAGAAATGGGCTTCACACATTGTACCCATGTGGGGATTCGAACCCGGGTCTTCGGTGTGACGAGCCAACACTTTAACCACTAGGCTACCCCTCCGCCCCTACAACCATATGAAAGAATCTGGTCAATTCTTTAACTTCCTTGGAGTAGCATATATCAGTTTCTGCTTCAAAACAGGTTTTTTGTCTGATAGAGGAGCAAATCTTTTTCTCAAAACACGTTATTTTCAAAGCATCCAGAAAAGTTTTCAAAAATTGTATTTTTTAAATATTCTCTGATGCAAATCTTGTATTAAAAACATCTGATCGCGTTTATCATACAACATATGTTGATCAAGTTTGAAACCCATGATAGAAAATATGTATCATATATTTTTTTTAGTTGTGGCCCTAAGAAAATGTGACAGATTTTGACGGAAACTGTCAAGGATACATGACTGCCATATCACCAAAGCATCATTAACTGATGAACATGTTAATAAGTTTGAAAACAACCATCAAAATTATGGCCCTTGTGTGTTTGAATATCTTGATGAACACATTAGGCAGAACTGGTGCCTTCATGTTTTGGAATTCTATTTTTTTTTTACCTTTTTCCAGGCAACAAGTTCAAATTAGGAAAACTATGTTTTAGTGCCAAAAGGTGCGGTGGGGCAGCTTAGTGGTTAAAGCGTTCGCTTGTCAATGTGTACAATGTGTGAAACCCATTTCTGGTGTACCCCGCTGTGATATTGCTGAAATATTGCTAGAAGCAGCATAAAATCATACTTACTCACTCACTTTAATGCCAAACCTTCCTTACTTCTCCATTAATCTTAGCAAATGAATTGGACCGTTGCCTATCATATTTACAGATATTTAATAGTTATTTACTGTTGTACGGGGTTGGGGGTAGCCTGGTGGTTAAAGCGTTGGCTCGTCACACCAAAGACCTGGGTTCAATTCCCCACATTTCTGGTGTTCCCCACCGTGATTTTGCTGGAATATTGCTAAAAGCAGCGTAAAACCATACTATCTCACTAACTCTGAAAGTATTTATGGAATGAAAAGAAATAATTTTTATGCTTTTTCATGCTGTAATCAGTACCTTGTACAGAATTTTTTTTTTAAAGATCTACATTTAATTCAGACTGCAAGATGTATTGAACCATGAGAGTTTACACAATATACCCAAACACGAGTGAGTGAGTGATATTTGCTTAAGGTCACATCAGCATTTGCCACTATTCGTAGTGACCAAACACAAGAAGCAGTGACACAAAGTCAGCTCTCAAGTATGGATTTTTGGATTTATTCTGTAAACATCAAAGTCTTTGATCAAAACAGTTTTTGCATTAACCAAGATAAGTTTCCTCGTCCTGTATGGATTACCTCCCTTTACATATAGATTTACTTGTAAAGTCCGTATCTGTGGGATCAATGCAGGACAGGTAGCATGGCAGTGTTGTGCTGACATATTGATGTATGGCAGCAATCAACCACACCAGCTATTGTTTATTTATGTCTCTGCATGCCATACCTCATTAATTTTATTATTTTTAGATATATAAACCATAAAGTACACCTCAAGTTATTTTTGCTCCAGGTTTCTATTGTCAAGAGGAAATAAATTGTTTTAGTTGGGTTTTTTCTAAAATAGAAATTGGTTACTTTGCATGGTAGTGTCTAATTTATGATACAGGCTTGAAAACAATTTGGATAGAATTTTCTGGTTTGTTTTTTTAAATGAATTTCGCTCCCAGTTTTACCATGAACTGGCTGAAGTTTTCATTTACCCCTGACATGTGAACATTGTTGATGAATATGCCCTTGTCGGACCCCACATAGAACAACCCAGTCATGAACAGGGGCTTTTCCTTCATTATAAGGGAATTTTACAGCTAGATTTACCATGAATTATTAGGCCTGGTTTGTGATTACGAAAGTGTAATATCCTAGTATCCAACGTTGAGTTGGTCATTGGTTACAGGGTGGTAATGCCAGAGTGTAAGCTAGTGATAGCAGGGGGGAGTCACGGGGCAGGGAGAACAGCCAGCTCCAGTGGTTACAGTTCTTGTGTTGGAATTACTTTAGAACATGTGTATACTTCTTTAGATTCAAAGCAAGAAGTGGGTGATCAGGCATTGAATTGCATATTGATCTTTCTGCTGTTGAAATCCTGCTTTGTGTATGAAACTGTAACATCAACCCATTCTGCAGTGGGGTATACTGCAATGGTGCAAGAGAAGTGGTATTGCTGGGATAGTTGGCATCTTCATGTGAGGTGGAAGGTTTTCTGCCATAAGTTTTATCAACCTTTTCCTATATTATGTCTTTTAGTGAAAGACCTTTTAGGAAGTTTTGTCTGTATTGACTTTTATTTGGCATATGGTTCCACAAGCAACCTTAGCACTGAGATGATCTAATTACTTTAACATAGCCTCATGACAGTTCTAGTCCTAAGAATGGTTTATGGAATGGGATCCTGGAGTTTCATCTGAGGCCCTTGCTTTAGTAATTGCGGTCATAAAATATGTAATGAATGCTTCATTGTGATAAGTATTTATATGTTTTAGAATCACAATTTGAACTATATGGTTTGAATTTCCTGTTTTCAGATGAAAAGAAACATCCCTTGAGGCGCCATGGACAATATACTCATGATATAGACGATCTTTCAGTGTTTCTTAGGAAGAAAGAATCATGGATTAGGACAGTGTGTCATCATTCGATGCTAGTGAAATTATTATGTGAATGAAAATTATGATCTAATTGATGGAGTTGCCAGTGAAATTGAACAATATATTGCCAAGTATTTTTTATATCAAATTTACAATCTGCAAAGTGTCTACCCGCTTTGATTTTCCATACTTCGAACTGCAACCTACCATTTTTTAATTGCTGAAACGAACAATTATGCTGACAAAGTATGAAAGACCACTTAATCAAGTGTTGCTAAAGCAATTAAACTAACTTCCGTAACTAATTAACACAGGACTGAATCCAAGTGTGCAATACACCAGTGGCTTACTGTATGGGATTACCTGGCTTACCAACTTAGCTCTGCCTAATTAGCCTTCTCTTCATGGGATGTGAGAAGGCTGATCTCAGCTCTGCAGTTGCTCACTTTGGGATTACCAACTACAGTGAACCAGGCCATTAGTGTAACTCTGAAACTGTGCATTGATTGAAATCTGTATTGATAACAGAGTTTGCCCACTTTGCTTCATTGGAAAACATATTTTGTGTTTTACGTGTGAATTGGCAGAAATAATGCTCAATTAATATTCAAGAAGAAGTGAATATTACTGGACTTCTGGAGATTTTATGTGGGATGTGACTTGTTCTGTGACATTTACACAGCAATTATCAGATATACAGATATACATAAGGATGCTCGGGATGGAGACATAGCAAGTTGCACCTGCAGACGACAGAAGATGTTGGTGTGTCTGTGGACTCACAGCTCCATCTGCCTCATCACAAGGCAATATTTAGTGTATGGACGATGAAACTAGAAGTAATGATCTTAAGGGCAAGCATATGAGGTGCTTATGTGTTTGCATTAAGACGGAAGGAATCTGGGGCAGTTATTCTCCATATTTTCGGGCATGAAGAAGAAGAAGGCATGAAAGAGTGAATCGGTTGTTGAAAGGTGTCAGTTTATCAACTTCAGCTTTCATCTTCTGTGTGATCTGACATTAGGGACACAGATGGAGGCACCTTCTCCATGAAGATGCCAGCTTCTGAAACAGCTCTGGAGTGACTGGATGTCACATTGTTGAGTATGATGTACCTATCTATTCTCAAGAAGAATAGAATGATGTTGGAAACCTAGCCATACAATCCTCCTGATGTCTTGATGTGCCTAAGTTTTTTATAAGATTGAGGGACAGTTGAGTGAGAAAATGAAAAAAGTGGCAACCATTCATGAAGACACGGAGACTGACTCATGCACCGATGGCAGCTCCTCTGGCGAGTACATCATTGTACGGAAGTTGGAGGAGGCTGCACGACTGGCAGAGCAAAAGAGGAAAAAACTTGCTGCAGGTAAGAAATATTGTGATGTTTTTACAGCTATGGAATCTTTTAATATTATTGATGTGTTTATGAGAATGTTGAAGCATGATTTAAACTTAGAAAAGTACATTGCTTTTGATGTACATAGATTTTCTTCAGTATAATCTTTGAACCACATTTTGCATGCATGTAAAGGGGAAAAGAGACATTTATAACTTTTAATAGTATTGAAAAAGATGTGTTTCAGAATGAAATATGATATTTTTCCAGTGCAGAATTTCTGCAGTATTGTATCCTTCCATTTGTAATTTCTGATATGTTCTAAAATGTAACCTGTGCCACTTCAGAACATGTCATCAAGATGATAGATATGCCAGTCATCGTTGTCTGAATGACTTGGAATTTATAACAGTGCAATATGGATGACATTTGAACCAGTTGAGGCAGTATATTTGTGGATTTGTGCATGAGCAATCAACAAAAGATGTCTGGTAACCCTCCAGATTGTGTGGTCGGAAGTTACAATATGACTTTAACCATTTTTTAGGTTAGTGGAATTGTTGAGTAAAGTTGTCTCCCTTTATATGTAGGACAAATCTTGGAGAACCCTGTCTGACGGTTCATTTACATGGCTGCAGTTTATTAAACATATTCTTGGCATTCACTAACATCTTACACTTTGATTGTCACCTGTTTTGGCTGTACCCAACATAATATTGCTGAAATACAATATCAAGTATACACAATCACATATGATTGAACTAGTAGTTCCAGGAAGGAATATAGGCGTCACCTTGTTTGTTGCAAGAGGCCTCAGAATGGATTCAGTGGTCCAGCTTGGTGGTTTGGTTCATTTCAAGGCACTACGTCTTCTTTCCAAGGATGCTTAGAATGTCAATCATTGGATTGTCAGATCCATATTTGTTTATTTACAGTTGGCTGCATAGCTGGAATATTGATATATAGAGAATCTCACCCAAGTGTCTACTGATATTAAATATATCACCACGAGTTGATAAAGTTAGAAATATCTGAGGCTTGCCTAGGATATTTTTCCTTTATCAACGAGGGTGAGATTCTATTTATCATAAAAAATCACTCTTCATTACTTTTCAATGAAAAATGTACATCTCTGAACACGGTACTACCATTAGACTTGCAGTGCAGTGATGTCATAGCGTTGTGACGTCATCAAGTTCATGACGTCATAACATTGTCAGGGCATTGTACAAAATCTACTGTCAAAATGATATCTCCTAGTAGATATCGTGTGATCTCACACAAGCAATATCTCTTGTGGAGCCCAGTTTTGGATGATAAATGTGGCATTTAATACCCCCATTTTAAAAAACCGAGCAACACAAAAACATAAAAACGACATCTACATGTATAAAGAACAGACAAGAAGTTTAAGTAATGTTTTCTGTAGATAGGATTGTAATACAGTTCATGTACTGAGCTTTCAAGTTTTCTCATTACTTAACAACATGTTGTATTTAATGAAAAAAATGAGGTTATCTTTAGATAATCTGACCTATGAATATGGATCTTTTCTCCGAAGTCATTTTTCAGTATAAGGGAGGTAACTCCAATCAGTAAATTACCCTACTGTACTGAATATAGATTACAATGATTGCTGTGAATGTGAAAAACAGTGTGGTCATGCTGAGTTCATTATTACAGTCATCCCAGCCTGGACCACTGCTCAACACCCTCCCTCACATCACTGTGTTGTCACTTAACTAGAACTTTACTAATCAGCCTTTTCACAGCATGTCAGAATAATTCATGGACAAGAGTTCACCAGTAAATACTGCTAAAGAGTATTGTCTGAGTGCTGTTTCTCACTTGTAGTTTGATGTTTTTCAACTACATGTAAGTAGTTCAGCACTGTCATCAGTAACTAAGCATGTTTTTATGGATAAACTTGGGATAGTGAACCTTTCCATGACTTCTTGGGTCCCCCGCCGTGATATTACTGGAATATTGCTAAAAGTGGTGTAAAACCATACTCTCTCACTCACTCATGACTTCTTGAGTCCCCCGCTGTGATATTGCTGGAATATTGCTGAAAGTGGTGTAAAACCATACTCCCTCACTCATTCATGACTTCTTGAGTCCCCCGCTGTGATATTGCTGGAATATTGCTAAAAGTGGTGTAAAACCATACTCTCTCACCCACTCATGACTTCTTGAGTCCCCCGCTGTGATATTGCTGGAATATTGCTAAAAGTGGTGTAAAACCATACTCTCTCACCCACTCATGACTTCTTGAGTCCCCCGCTGTGATATTGCTGGAATATTGCTAAAAGCGGTGTAAAACCATACTCTCTCAGAATATTTTTCTGCATGTATCTGCATAGATTTACCAGGGCTCTTGTAAAACCATTCCTAATCAGACATTTTGAACTCAACAAATACTGACAAATATTCACAAAATATTCAATAGCAGTGTATGCATGATGAAATCATTTTATGCATGTATCTTAACAGATTTCGCGTGGACTCCAGTAGAGTCTTGAGGCCTACAGTGTGGGTACGTGGATAGTGAATCTACACTAAACCCAGCCCTGCTTAGTGGTTCAAAGTATCATTTCCTAATCTGTATTGGACTCACAACATGAGTGAAAGATTTAATATCCCCAGTCTCCATGTTCCCGGCCATAACATACTAGGAATATAGCTAAACTGTATAAACACATTCTCCCATTGTCACAAGGTGATCAAAAGGGAAACGCTAATGTAAATTGGATATTAGAACACTGAACTCAACACTAACAGCTATAGTTCAAACATTTTTTCTTGGTCGAAAAATCAAAAACTTCATGGGCAATTGGTATACCTTAGTGGTTAACGGGTTGGTTCATCACACTGAGCACCCAGGTTCAATTGCCCAAATTGGCATCATGTGTAAAGTGTATTTCTGGTGTCTTACTGTGATATTGCTTAAAGCAGTATAAACCCAAAACACACTCACTCACTCACCTACACATGTGAGGTCTATTCTATAATGACCTCCTAACCTATAAGGGCTGTGCTATTCAGTACAAATCCCATATATTTTCTTCTATTCAAGACAGATTATGAAGCATACATTCCTAATGATTTCACTCACGCCCCATTACACGCCTATTATCTCTTACGTCAATCGCAAATCTTGCCTAAGAACATGTATAGATTACATGATAATACCTGATTTTTACACACTGAACAAATCTGATCGTCAGAGAAGGCTTTATGCTGTAGTACTAAGCCCTGAGTAGCCAGATTCCTCCAGTAATTGTTACCGTTCATTGCCTTCTGGGTAATTGTGGCTCACTTGACTTTTTATCTCATTCATACAAGAGTAATTGCTGGTGATTGGTGTTCTGTACAATTGGAAATGTTGATTTGAAGAAGAGATGAAAGACTTAAGGATCTGGTAGGAGCAATTATTTTTAATTTCTTTTTTATTATGGTGTTGATTTTTTTCCACAATTAATTAATTCTATTTTGGATACATGAGTAGAAATTAATGTAAGCATTCATAATTCATGAACACGACAGGACTGTCAGGTTGAAAGGTATTCTGTTATGAAATACGGTTTCAATATGCTGGTAATAGTGTAAGAATTTGAAAAAGATGCAATCAGGTGAGATTTTTTGTTTATTTTGTATTTAAAAAGCCTGTTCCAACGAAAACGTTACACTACCTTTTGTAAGGGAGATAACTCTTTGATGACATATTATATGCTATATGGACAGAAATCAGCCATGATTGTTATTTGATGCTATTATTATCCTGTCTTTAGATTACCTTTATACTGACAGCTAAAGAGGTTTTAAGACTGCCATTCTTATAACTATTGTATAACTTGTGTTTCTCATCTAAAGATTCAACCAACAGGTAGGACTGATTTTGCAAAACCAAAAGAAAATCCCCACTGTGTTTCAGTCATATATATTTTCTTAAAGGTTTGTTGTATCTGCAATGAAAGTAGATTTAGAGGAAAGATTTTGTATGTGTCTAATATCAAGTAGTTCAAAAGAGAGAGTATTCTTATGTTCTCAGGTAACAATTAAAATCTTTGTTATTGGTCTCCAGTAGGCTCAATTCAAGTTTGTTGTATCTGCAATGAAATTCAGTTGAAAGGAAAGATTGTGTATGTGTCTAATATCAGGCAGTTCAAAAGAGAGAGTATTCTTATGTTCTCAGGTAACAATTAAAATCTTTGTTATTGGTCTCCAGTAGGTTCAATTCAAGTTTCAGAATCAAGAATTATGGATTCTGATCCTTGATCAGATTAGAAATAAATCTAATTCTGCTGAAAATATAATCCTACAAGGTTACATTTAATTTGATCATGGAATTAAAACAGATTATTCTGCTGAAAATATAATCCTACAAGGTTTAGTGATCATGGTGTATTAGTGTATTGTGTTGTGTTGGTGGATGCTGCTGCCATGGTAAGTAGACTTTGGGGATCTGTAAACTTAGCCAAAGTTTATTTTATTTTCAAGTTTTATTCAAGTTTTATCACAACATGAATGTTTCTGGAATACAGATTTACATAATTGATGTCATTAATCAAGTTATTAATAACAACCTTTCTGAACATATGTAGGAAATTTAATTTCTCAACTTTATATATTTATACAGAATGAATTTAACTTAAATATAATTTATGTTGATATTTCAAACTTACATTTAAAAGTTACTGATTATGTAAGTTTGAAATCTGTGACATAATTTAAAAAAATGGATTTTTTCCCTTTCTTATGAAAACATGCAATGTGAATTTAACATATAGTCTCTCTTGACTTATGCTTTATCAAAATCACATTTAGCTTGACACAAGCATTGCCCTGTATGTATCTTTGATCTGCCGAACCCTCAAACAAGCAAATCAGCCATTACACAGTTGCGTGGGTTTCAATAGTATTACCATACATTCATATGTAGTAATATTACAAGAAGTACGCACTGAACCAACTGGCTCATGCTGTGCTGGTCTCCAGCACCACCGGCCTTTGTTGTACACCAAGGCTTA